CCACATACAAGGAGAGCGGCCAGTGCTTGACATGCCCCGCCACGTGCGACATCTGTACGAGTGCTGACGTGTGTGTCACGTGCCGTCGCGGTTATTTCCGCCATAATGGCGCGTGCGTGGAGGCCAGCAGCTGCCCCACTGGTTCCTACGCTGACGCCGACCTCGACACATGTGTGCCGTGTACCGCTGGCTGCGCCACGTGCAATGCCGATCGCTGCACGCAGTGCGCTGGCACCAAGCTGCTCCTGCCAACTGGCGATGAGTGCGTGGACGCCTGCCCGGACCAGTACTTTGCATCCACCACGACGCTGGGCGCACGCGAATGCAAGGCGTGCGACACCTCGTGCAAGTCGTGCTCTGGCACTCTGCCGACACAGTGCACGGCCTGTTTCGATGGCGAGGAGCTGAAGAGCGGCCGCTGCGTGCTGCCGGGTGGTGGTGGCACGACCAAGAGCCCAACAACACGTGACCCGTCTGCCTCCCAGTCTGGCACAGACAGCACTGCTGACTCGAACACACTGATTTACGTCGCTGTTGCTGTTGGCGCCGTCATCGCCCTCGCCCTCATCATGATTGGCGTCGCGCTGCTTCGCCGCAAGAACGCAAAGGCAGCCAGTGGTGGTGCACACAAGTTTGATGGTCAGCAGGGCTCTACCATGGCTTCCTATCGCTCCGGCTCTCTCCACGGCCGTGACATGGTCATCTCCAACCCAGCGTACATGCTAAACGAGCCAAAGCCGTGGACCGAACAGCAGCAGCAGCAACAACAACAACAGCCGACGAAGAGACCCGCCAACGACGCCGACATGGAGCGTGAGTGCGTATATGTGTGTGCGTATGTGTGTGTGTGTGCATGTGTGGCATGTGGGAGCTTGCTTCAGTTCCATTGATACATGCATTCAACTCACCTGTGACTGCTCTCGTCACCACTCCGTGTTGTTGGTACAGCACTCTACGAGGACCAGGACATGTACGACGATTGTAAGTTGCAGACGTTGCCGTGCTCGATATCTCATTTCATGGCGTGTGCTACGAGTGCGTGCAGCTGCAGCAGCTGTTGCTGTTGTTGTTGTTGTTTCCGTGACATGCACATCCCAGCGTGACATGCACATCCCAGCGTGACATGCGCCCCCAGTAACACACACGCTCACACCATCCACTCGCCTTTCTCTTCGGTTGTTGTCCTGTGCCTCCCTGTTCATGCGAGCAGCTGAGCAGAATGAGGGCGGGTACCTGACCGTCAACCCCGACGATGATCGGATGGCCGCTGACAACAACGGTACGTCGCAGGATGACGGCGAGGCCTTGTACGACGAGCCGTCCGCCATGCTGTCGCACAAGGACGAGGAGCATGAGAAGCCCCGTGATGACGACAGCAATGACGAGTGAAAGTGTGTGTGTGTGTGTGTGTGTGTGCTTGTGCGTGTTTCCTGAATTCACGATGTTTGCTTGGTTGTGTTTGTTGCTGGGTGCGCTGTTCATTTTACATAACTGTGTGACATGTGCGGTTGTTTTGTGTTTGTTGTTACACCACGACGCTGGGCTGTGATTACACACGTACACGTGAACCGGAAGCATGGAAAGGGGGGGTTGTATTGGAGAAAGATCAACGTAACAGCGTTGGCGTGGATGACGCAAACACAAGGAAGGCAACAAGCAAGCGGGGACAGAGGGCACAGCCAGAGGGCAAGGGCAAACCGAGAAACCGAGAAACAATAGGCGCAAGCCAGAATGACGTACACACACACACACAGAGAGAGAGAGAGAGAGAGAGAGAGAGAGAGAGAGAGAGAGAGAGAGAGAGAGAGAGAGAGAGAGAGAGAGTTTACATTGAAAGAGAAGCAAACGTCAAACAAGCATGGGTTCGTATGGAGCAAGGGCTTGCACAACGCAACTTGACGCTCAGGTGTTGAACGTGATGTCAATGCTACGCATCGCGCCATCACTGAAAAATGAGGCCTCCAGGTAGTCGATGACCCACTGTCCCTTCGTGGTGCAGCCATCTAGTCTGGACCACGATTCGTGTGGTGCGGCAGGGTTGCTGTCGGGGAAATCGCCAGTGGCCGTCGGCGTCCAACAAAACGTGTCATCGACATCAAGATTACTGCCGTCGTTGTGCACAACCTCCATTCGCTGCCCGCTCGGGCATTGCAGGTAAAAGTGCTGCATCACACCAAGGAGCAGTTGTATCACCACAAGCAATGCAAAACATGTGAGATCGTTACAAGTGCCTTGACCCTGAACATGTTACGAAAGCACGGATAAGCGGGTGTGACGCTTGCTTCGCACAAGTTCTTCACGCCGTGCGAGTACAGCGCTCCATTACAAGCATCAAACACACACGTGAACAAGGAACGAGCGTACCATTTCCAGCGGGTAGTTGTGCCAAAGCTCGATGCACAATGATTGGATATGTGTGGAAGCAACAAAGTTGGGGATGTCCGCTGACACGTCGTGGCAAATGGCAGTGCGCGTACGGTCCGGGAGATTCAAGGGGGTGCTCTGACAGGCAGGAGGTGGGCCATCGAACGCGTTGGACATGTCCATGAAGTAGGAGTTTAGGTAGAAATCGTCATTTCCGTAGTGCTCTTGGAAGAAGTCGAAGTGAGTTGTTGTTGCCTTGGGTTTGGTGGTGGTGGTGGTGGTGGTTGTTGTTGTTGTGGTAGTTGTTGTTGTTGTTGTGGTAGTTGTTGTTGTTGTGGCTTCCACAACGGCTGCGACTTTGCATCGATGAAAGCGAAGCTTGCATGACTGCAGGGCAGTCACAACCTAACAAGCGCAAGGTGTGCGTGTGTGAATGGACAAATGGGTGAGTGAGTGCTTCGCCGTGCCACAATACAACCAAACGACAGTACGCAGACAACGCTATCATCCCTGTTGCTCCGCAATCACCCACCGTAGAGTTCCTGGCAGCGACAGAAAACTCGTTGCTTGAGAGGGGCGTCACCGCAGACCCGTCCTTGAGCGACAGCGCGCATTCCTGCCACATACGCAACAGCCAGAGCACACCAACAGAGTACATGAGAAGAACAACACGACACTTCCCCTGTGCCTGATCTCGACAGGCAGCACATGAAAAAGTATTGACTGCACACACAGCGAGCCAACAACAACGCATCACACATACAAACACGCACCCACGCATCCACACATACACACACACACAACAGCAAACACGATGCCTCACGTCAAGGCCGCAGTCGTCCTGGATGGCGTCGCGCAGCTGCTGCGAGAACTTGTCGAGTTGAGCGTCTGTAAACTGGTCCAGCTGCTGCCCACGAAGACACTTGGTTGTCATCACGGCAGCTGTTGTGTAGGTCGTGCTGTCGCACACGCCGGCGTCTCCAGCAGCAATATGCTCAACGTGTCTCAGCGTGCACTGCATAAACTCGATCTCGTTGCTGTCCAGGCAGGTCTCAATAGCTTGGGCAACCTTGCAAAAGTTGTACGTTTGGGTGTAGGTGTGAGGGAGATTTGTGTGAGGGAGTGAGGGTGTGTGCTGAAGTGCGCATGTGGTGCAGTTGGACAAAGAAGTAACTCACGTGTGTGATCACGCGCAAGAGCAGGACTCAAAAAAAGTAGCAGTGAGCTCGTACAGAAGCATTCTTGACAGGGACGCGGAGGGTGTTATCCAGGCCAGACACGGGGGTGATGTCGGATCCAACAGCGGACTTGAGGTCGCACTGTTTACAACGGGAGGGAGAGGGTGAGTGTGAGTGCGCGTGCGCGGATGTGTGTGTGCGCGCGTGCGCGGATGTGTGTGTGTGTGTGGTTGATCGGCAGTGTGAGAGCATACACGAGCAGTTTTATTTGTTGCTGCAGGGGCAGCAAGCACATCAGGTCAATAAAAACCAAGCCAGCGAGCAAGCCCACGAACACAACTCACAAGCAAGCTACCACGCTTCTTGCAACACACAAACTCCACACCACGGACGACGCACTTGGGCAAGGCCGCATGTGGATGACAGCTGGGAAGCAAGTGTGATGGCAAACTTGTCGAGGCGGCCTTGCTTGTACTCATGGATCCTCTTGGAACGAAGGCAGCGGAAGGTGAGCTGCGCCTCGCCGTCGTACGTGGCCGTGTCGCATTGAGTTGGAAGGGGGGCAGCAGAGGCCATGGCGGCGGCCATCAGTGCCACGACGATCACAAGCGTGACTGTTGCCATGGTGGGACGCATGAACATGTCGAAGAGAAGGAGAAGGAGGTGGTCTGATCGAAAGCGGCGAAGAAGAAAATAATGTGTTGTGTCGTAGGTGCGTGCGTGCGTGCGCGTGTGTGTGAGTGGTAGGTTTCGATCGGCAAGTATCGCTTCGTGGTGCGTTCGGATGAATGAATGAATGGTGTGTTCTTCGGGCAAAAAGGTCGCGTGTTGTGGTCTTTGTTCATGGTGTAACATAAAGCAACACGTCTTATGAAGTCACCTGGCCTACGACATGTGAGGAAAGTGAGCCAATCATATGCCCACTACGCTCAGGCGTCATATCACACACACACAATGCCCATAAAACTGATGATGTGACACATGAACTGATGTGACGAAATGATTCGATGGCTTGTGTGCAAGCGCAACTGCAACGTGGTGAGGACGAGGGCGTGTGCATTCGTGTTTCTACAAATGTATGTGTGCGCATGTGTGCATGTGTGTGTTCTGTTGTGTGCATACTCTCAGTGCAGTGCAGCCACGTGGTCACGTGCTTCCTTGAGCTCACATCTGTTTCACCTGTGCATGCATTTGAGCGAGGGTGTGTTTCGTTGTCACCACTAATACACGACACCGCGCTGCAACGTTGACACGAACAGGCATCTCCGGTGCTGACGTGAGCGAGTTGAACCAGATTGCCAGTCCGCCTGTTGAGGACAACGTCGTCTTCATTGACACGTTCAGCGAGTTCTCCGCCCTCGCCTCGAAGATTTCCCGCGCCAACTGCGATCAGCCTGCTAGTGTCTCCTCCGACATTGACGTGCGTGTGTGTGTGTGTGTTTGTGTATGCGGGCGTGC